ATTGCCTTACCACCCGGGCCAAACGTAACATTATGAAACCCATTGACGGCCTCGCAACTTCTTGAAGTTGTCACTTCAAAAAACGATGCCTCGTTGACCCTCTGCACAGTAAACTTATACTGCAAATAGGCTTTTAAAATTGTTATGTTAAAAGTCTAGAAAAAACAGTGAAAAATATTTTCATTAGCCGCGTATCGAAAAGTGTCCATAACCTGAACCTGACATCTTCGCAAAAAGTGATGCTTGTAATGAATGTGAGAAGCATTTTCAAAGCTTAAATTAAACTTAGATGTTGTAGTCACGATCGTGTTTTGCGCTAATTTTATGAATGAACAAACTCAAAACAATAAACAGAGAAGCCGTTTCTTGAAAATTTTTATTCAAATTCCAAAAAGTTAATCCTCTAAAACCAATCGGAAAACACTATCTGGATCGTGGATCCGTTCACGCAAGTGAAATCGGCTAAGCACATGGCAAAATTCAACAGAAAATCCATCTCAAATCAGGGCACATTTTGTAATTTTTCTTTAGCGCCGAAGAGAAAAATTTATAAAACGTCTATGAAACATTTAAGAATAAATAAATTCCCTTTCAAAAACGTAATTGTCTTGGCCATAGAGTGAAAAATGTACCTGAAAATTCTTTAAAAACCTCGCTGACTTGGTTGCATTTCAAAACAGACCATGGGCTCCGCTGTGAAGAAAACAAGGTTGAATTCCTCGAAGGACGATTTCTTGATGAAAAGCTTCCCTTTCTCCACAAAAAGAAAGCTGAGCAGTCTTTTGAACTTTCTCTTTCCATTTTTTTGTCTTTTAACGGTGTATTTTTAACCTTGAGATGCAGAACTCTTGTCTTAAAACATCTGCATGGTGATCGCGCAGCAGCCACTTTGTTGAAAATTGATATCCGTCACTAAGGTTTCCAAATATGGTCAAAATGAATATTCACGAACATTGAACGCGAGTTACACGTTTCAACCCCTTATGAGTTTCTGCTCAAACTCAATCCATTCTTCATTTCCTTTAGAATATTTTTTATAAATTTTTCCGCGAAAACTTTCGTCTGATAATTAAGTAAAACCACGAGTTTGGAAATCAAACCATAGAAATAAATTGCTTTGCCAGTGAAAATCAAACTTATACAGGAACATGACTTTTTGGCGTTGAGTCTTGAAAGTCGTTAAAAGGCCAAGAAAACCTACTGCTGAAAAATCTACAAGTAAAAACCCGCGTAGAAAACGTCCGATTTTTGTCATGGAAAATATTTTTTGTAGGAAAGTACGGTATTCAATTGCAAAGCACCAACGAAATGGCTTTTAAAAGGACTGTAACTTTAGGCGCGAGTTTTCGATTTGCCGCCATCAGATTTGATGCGCCCACGCTATTGTCGTTCAGCGGATTCACGTATACGCATGCAAAATGCCCTCCTGTTGGGAAATCTGTAGTTTCGGTTTGTAAAATGACCTGCAAAGGGCTACAGAAGAGTTTTATTTGCTTTGAAAAAGTGCTACAAAAAGTATTACAATGACGAAACTGTTTTCCCTCACTTTACAAATCATCTAGTACTTAATTTATAAGAAAACACCCCACTTTTGATTGACAGACTAATTGCAAAATCTTTTCTAGTTGGTTTTTTTCTGGGGGGATGGGGGTGGGGGCGGGGGGAGATGGGAATTACCAGAAAATAACTAGTGACGTAATTTTGCATTATTGGCAATACATAGAGGATACTACATAGCCGCGCGGAGATTCGGAAATTTCTCTTCTCGTGTTGAAAAATATTTCACGGGCGGAGCGCAGCGAGCAAGTGAAGTATTTTCCAACACGAGAAGAGATATTTCGTCAACACAAGAAGAAAAATTTCTTATCTCCAAGGGGCCATGAAATGTTCTATCTATTACATGAACACCAATGAGATGCCAAACCGTTTCACTAAAATGCTTTTTTGCTGCGAAAGGCGCTATATGTTATGTAGCCTAGCAACGGTGATCTTTTCACATGTGAAAATAACATGTTATTTTGACTTGTGAAGATATCCTGTTTTCGCGCGAAAGCTCACCTGGTATTTCATTAGTGGTTATTAATATAATGATAACAAAAATTAAAGGCATTTCTCATGGCAGGAAGAAAAATATCTTACCACAAGAAAGGCATTGAAATTTGGATGCCGCCAAGTCCTTTTGGTTCTAAGCTTTTTTCTGGCCCATCAAATATTTATTTATTTATTTGTTATTATTAGCATTAAAATTAATGGACCAGGTGACCAGAATAGCGGATAGACTAGACTACAAGAGCACCAATTCAAAAACGCAACTGTTAAGCAACTGAATATGCCTCTTTAGTTTCCTTCGTCCCTTTTCTTAATGGAGAAGTGGCCAACTATGGAGCGCATATGGTTTACATTGACTCAGTCATCAAGCACAGGTTCTTGTCAGAGAGTAGCAAGGGTTGGATTATTTCCTGGGTAATACTTTCATTGCATCCGAGTGGACGGCCGCCGTACGTGTTGCTTCGTAAACTCTTTAATCTCGTCATCGGAGTTAGTGGAATCTCTTTTCTTAGATGCCATCTAGTGTAGAACGAGGTGTTATTTCTTGCGGACGCAGGGACTTCCCTACCATCAAGATTCGTTTCCGACGCTTCCCACTGTGGTCTCTCCGACATCTCATCTCCTTCGAGACGCCATCTGGGTTTACCTTGATCCTTGGGGTCTCGCCATAGTGTAAATTTTCCCCCAAGTATCTCTTCTGCTTGGAATTAAACCGATGGCGTGGCATACCAGACTCCCGACAAGCCCATGTCTCCTTATCGTCACATCGGGGTGGCTGCCTACAGCCTCAATACGTTCTGTTTAACTGACCTTCGCTCTGTCAAGTGGTGACCCATGAGACACCCTTGGCCCGACGGAATTCGTGTTTACCGTACATAAAGTGCTGCTCCAGAGCGGCTCACTCGCCCCATGTAAGGTAATCCATATTCCTATCATATTCTAGGAAATTCAGAATCCTTGGATTTACAATCCGGAATTTAGCTCAAGGAGTCCGGAATCGAATTTCCACTGACAAAGATCCGGAATGCAGTACCTGTAATCCGGAATCCACAGCGCAGAATCCCGAACCCAACACTGTCTCGGATTACCTTACATGGGGCGAGCTGCCAGCCGGACAAAATTATCGTGAACCGTATGAAATGGCTCCTGCAATTTTAAAACTTTCAAACATCACTCGTGGCCACAAATAACGAAATGCACTCCCGTTCACAAGAATTTTTATAATTATTACATTTATGGTTAAAATTCATTACATTTATAGGGAGCCAGATTATTACATGATTTATAGTTAGTAATTTATTACATCAATGTATAGTTGATTGTTATTACACATTTTTGGCTGATATTACACTTATGATTGACCTTTATTACATTTTACGGGTAATGTTATATTCATGGTTGATTACACTCATGGGTTACCACACGCGACTGAAAATTAATGGGCGTTTGAAAGGTCTCATGGGGTTGAAGGAGTTGAATGCAGGCGATTATCCCCTCTGCCTTCTTTATCGCCCCTCGGCTTGATTTCCGACCCTCTCTCGAGTCTACCCCGAGAAGACATCATGAGATCATTTTTTTTTTCCACAATAATACCATTCCTGACTATAATATAATTTCCTAAAAATGCCGCTTATGACTTCAGCAAGGGTGGGAAAAAAGTTCGAATTTCAGCTTGTCTTTCCATACAAGGAGCCTACTTCATGATATACCCAGTTTCAGGTACGTGCTTGCCCTCGTTCGCTTTATTCATGTCAAAACAACTTGCCTAGAACCTTAAATGCCAAGTGTGCATGAAAAGATCCTGACTGAAAAGTGTACTTATACCGGACGAGCGGAGGAAGGTGATGAGGTTTAAGCAACAGAAAACTTTTTCGGTGTTTGCATAGCCTGATATAAACACGAGAGCGGTTGGGAGAATTGGAGGCAGTAATGCAAACCTGACACGAAGTCGAGCGTTTGCAGAACTGTCGAGAATTTTCCCAACGCCTCGAGTGTTTATATCAGGCTATGCAAACACAGGAAAAAAGTTTTCTATGGCTTTTATAACATAAATTTCCCAGGAAAAAAAAGCAAAACTTTTTGTATGGCACTGATTAAAATAGAAATTCTTACCAGTCGCAAAGTCTTGTCTACGAAGTCTTGCACGCGTAATCAGTTCCTGTTTTGCAAAAAGATGCTTTCCAAAATACGGACTTTTCTCGCTTAAAATGTCAGCTTCAGCGAAAAAAGATTGACACACTTTCTTCGCAACGATTTTCCAAGTTTCAGCCGACGAAGGAATGGGTAAATAAAGTAAACATGTCGAGTTTTGAACTTGCAAACTTTTTCAAATTCGTGCTTGCGTGATTAGCGCGCGAAAAGCAAAACATCTTGACGCCACAACCATGTTTACATACTCTCATGCAAACACTCCTCTCAGCCAATCAGGGCGCGCGTACTATCTTAGTCATTTTGAAATAGCCTAGCTGTTTAACAAAACTAAAACTCTTTAATTGGGTACACATGTTGTAAAATTGCATTCACTAAGCCAGGACAAGGTTAGTGGTACAAACTTAAGGTATCTTGATCTTGAGGTATCTTTAAATCTTAGGCTTGACACTTAAAGGATCATACACAAAACATCTTACTCAATTACTCCTTAACTTGCACAGTATGCTACAGACAAGTTTGGGCTCTTCACAGAAACTAAAACATACATAGATTGAATCGGCACCTCGATAATTCAAGCCCCATAAAAAAAATGATCGTTCGTCTCCAAAGATACTCACCGAAAACCTCATGAAACATATGGCATTCAAAACACAGTAAGAAGAAAATTAATGCCATAGAAAGGTCAGTATTAAGATTGTTTTGCCATTTTTAACTCGGCTTTGGCACAAATAGAACGATGAGCAAGTTTTCGGGAAGTTGCGCACACATCTCGGTTAAATTACAACCTTTATTGTTATTTTCCCGAACTTCAAACCCACCTTGATGAAAATAAAAACTCCCAGTTCACGAAGAGCATTTTTATTACAAGCGTTTTTTTTTTAATTTATGTGTCAGCCGTTGACAACATTAACAAGCAATGAAACGTTTAATTTAGATATTTCAACAATAGGCCGATCTTTGGGAAGAGAAGTTTTAAAAACGTGTAACAAGCCTACATTAACTATAGAACAGCAACACATGCAGACGGTCCTCAGGCTGTCAGTGCAAGCAGGGATATGGCTGTAATAAAGAGACCAAGGTGAACAGGAAAAACTGCTTTGTTGCCAACGGATCCTACCACTTTGCAGCTAGATTCTGGTTGGTAAGGTGTCATGATCACGGGCTTGGGTTTGACCAAATCGCTCTGAAACACGGAGACGAATATTGATCAGGTAAAAAATTCTATTTTTTATTAGATTTATTTAGCAACGAGTCTTTTCCATTGACTGCCTGGAATATACACTGACCTCCACTTTGCCCTTAGCCCATCTATTTTGTTTTGTTTAATTGTTTGTTTGTGTTTTGCTTTTTTTACAAACTATGATGTGTGGCTTCTCACGACAACAAGGATTTTCTTGGCGTGCTTGTTTTCACTGCTGTTCTCGTGATGGTTTTATAACCTCACTGATATAGTTTAAAACAAGGCGGGTCAGAGACATCAGCTCGATTTATATACGTTCGCTTACTGGCCTCGAACGTACACGCACACATACCCCCACCATGTGGTACAAGGGGGACGGGTTGATAGACTATCCCCCCCTTGAGTTTTTGATATGTTGCAGTATTTCGAAACGATTTTGCCTTCAGTGGAAAGCCTTTCATCTTCTCTACAAAATGAGGTATATTTTATGGGTGGTGGCGCTGCTGGAGGTCTGTGACGTCACGAAACATGGTCGTCATCTTGGCTGCCATCTTGGATTTTATAAAGAATTAGAAATCAAGTACAAACATTGGGAATTAATACTTTTTTGCGCTTAACTTGTAAAATAACACATAAATAATTACTTTGCATTAATTAATCCACAACTTTCACTTTTATTATTGGAAAAAGTTGGAAAAACATGCATTTTTACTCAAAAATGGCTTGACCACCTGGTACTTATAACGTCATATCTCGTAACCATAGTACCCGACTAGTCTTAAAATGCGTGCGGGGTTAAACAAACAGTACAAAAAACTTCAGGTGCTGATGTTTTATCGTCTAGGAGTAGAAAAACCTGTATGACGTCCCAGGGTTAAGACAGGAGGGAGAAACAAGAGTTTGGCTGCTGTCAACAGATGAACAGAAAGGATGGGAAAGAGAGACAAATTAACTGAGAAACTGAGATAACTGAGAAAAATTACCTGACGCATGCCGCGGCTTTTACAAACGATGTTAACTTGGTCACTATCCTTGTAAGCTTTCGCTAATCCCTCGTTGACAGTATCTGTCCAAAAACCTGGCTCTCGTGTTTCACCCTCATTTCTGAAATAAGACGGCAAATAATGACACGAATTAAATACCGTGAAGACATAAATTAATATAATCAAGTTTTTTGAAATCCACGGCAGACTAGCTCTCTTATAAAATAAGTGCTGTTGATGCTAGTCATACGTTAAACTTAAACCATCGAATTGCACGATGAAGAGTGGAGCGAATACATGTAAATTTGTCAGTCTACATAAATTCAAGAGAGTTGCTCTTAAAGCTCATGTACTGTAAGAAAGTGTTTTAACTTTTCTCATCAAACAGATTTTCATTTAATTACCGTCGAGGGTTTACAAAATCTCATAGTGAGTTCGTTTCTTCGTAATGATCCCAATCAGGATCAGTGATCTGAGATCTCGCGAATCATGATACATCAAATTGGAGCGGATAAATCCTCTCTGAGCAAAAAATAATCAGTTCATTTGATATGCCATTCATTTATTCTGAGACAGGTGCATACTTGAAGCAAGTACAATAAGTTGTTCATACACAGCCTCGTTCCCAACAAAACTTGCTTTCATATGAAATTTTCTGCTCTTGGCCTCAATTAAAAAAAAAGTGAGTGCTTTTGGAACTCGGAAATGGCCAGCTACACTGAACTCGGAGATGAAGCCCAGCACCAAGAGCCTATGTGTTCCAGGCTGCACCTATCGATAAAAATCTGTCAACACTTGCCTCTGCTAGTGATTTGCAATTAAAGGACCACACTACTTAAGTCCATTTTAATAATTTAAAACTTCTGTCAGCTATTTCAGTAATACATACTTGACATATTTTCCAGTCCAGCTCGAATACGCTGGCCATTCACTTGAGGTGCACTTTGTCAAGTTGACTTTGGGGTAATACATAACAAACGTTATGCACATTTCATCCAAAGTAGAAAGACCTCCCTAGAAAAAAAACGGAGAAAAGAGCGAATCAAAAAGGACCGGTGAAAGATTAATAAGATAATCAATGATTTTTGTCCCGTTCATTTTTCGTTTGAAGCAATTAAGAGGAGTTTAACATAGAAGACCGTGGTAAGGTAAGAACTAAAAGCATAGAACTGGTTGATTATAAAAGTGGATCTAAGAATGATCACAACTGGACCGCATAAAAAATGCCTGACTGTCAACTACTCTATGTCGGATGACAAGGAGGTAATACATACTGTAGATAGCGAAAAAAAAAAACGAATGGTCAAAAGTATAAGAGTTGACTAGCATTATATTTTAGCCGGCCAACGAATCGCGAAAGTCACATGAAGAACTTCAACTGTAATCAAACTGGGTTGATTTTAAGACCAAACTGAGGCCCGAAGGGAGACCGGGCCCCACTTATCTCAGGGTCTGGATGACGGCCGCAGGATGCTTTCCCCTTTCTGGCGTAGTGTTCTGGGATGTCTCCATAAACCGTTAAAACCTGTACTGTTTTATAATTAACTTACAATGGTCGCCGAAGACCGATCGTTGGTGTCATAACCACAGACGTTTATTAAGGCGTCACCCTATAAGAGAAAAGATGAACGAGCAAGGATAAAATAAGATGCTGTTTACACGTATGTGAATATCAATATTGTATCTCACTCTGAAATGGAGGTTTAATTTGAGAAAACATTTATTAAAAAATACCTCAGAAATCAAACAGTATTAAAATAGTAAGTCATATGCATAGAAATTTCAATTTAAATCTTGAAGCCTCCGAGGTAAAGAGGCGGGAATAGTCTATGACTAATGGGCCAAGATACAAAACCTGCAAGCACAAGAATTACACCCAGTATAATTTCTCACCGGAGCAACAAAGATCTCCTTATTCAAAACTTGATATTCCTGTTAAAAATAATAAAACGCTTAATAAATTAAACAGTTAAGTATCCTACTTGATAAAAGCGTATAAACATTGCCTTTAACATCGGTGTGACCAAGGGAACTGATTATAAGGCAGGTCTGAAAAAGGGTATTGATTTAAGGGGCAGGTCTGAAATAGAGTATCAAATTTTTGATCAGGTCTGAAATAGGGTAGGGAAAACCACAGATTTTGGTCTGAAATAGGGTAAGGGTTTCAGGAAGCTTGTCGCACACCTCCACCCATTTTTTTTTTTCTGGAAGTACCCCCCCCCCCCCCCCTCCCGGGTAGTGAGCAGGGGACGTAGATTGGTAGGTGGTGAGGTCACTATCTTTCATGGGGTGGGTGGGTAATGATTGAAGGGGTTGATATTAATTGAGACGCAATCCCTGTTTCATCCCCTGTCATCAAGTTGGTTCACGTGGCTAATTTCAATGAATTAAACGCTGTTAATGTTGTGGGTAAGTTGATGTGTTCTACAGTGTTTGCTTGCTATGTGGTTTTTGGTCAACATAAGCTCATGCGTGTGCATAAGAAAGCAGTTTATTGGATTTGGTTTGCATCACCCACCAGCCTTCGGCACCACAAAGACACCGAAGGGCTAAGTTCTTTTCCTTTTATCTTCAACATTAGTTAACAACGCCGGCTTCCGACTGACACGTACATTTCAGAATTAATTTGGATATTTATTTATTTATATTTATTTATTTATTTATTCATTTAAACTGAGCTCAATTTCCTGTGAAACTCACCTGAAAGTTGAAGTCATAATTATCATCTCTCACAATTTCAGGAAGTTCCACGCCACCTCTCATGTGTCGAAGTAATGCTTTACGCCCTTGAAAATAATAAAGCATTCAGGGGCTGAACATTTGACTTTTGAAGGGGGGGGCGATATGGGTGATTTCAAATGAAAAAAAATATCCTGTAGACTGATTTCGAGGGAAAAATAATCTTGCAAGAAAATACCTGGCGAAAAGAAATTCCTATACTTGAAAAACAAAGTTTTTCATTGAGTAGAACGCTGGAAAAAAATCTTTCACCGTTGTACTAAACAGGAAAAAGTAAATATATCACCTGAGCCTTTTCGGAAAAAAATTCTTACCCACCTAAGAAGTCAAATAGTCAGCCCCTTAATGACCAAACTTATTATCTACGTCAAATAGAAGCAAATAATATATGTATTCAACACTCAGCAATTCATGAGCGCATCTCTTTCGCAAATTTTAGCAGAAGCTGCCAATCGGTAAGAAAACGAAAGGGAGAAAACAGAAAAGTTGTTGACGATTATTTTCGAGGTTGGTTCCTTTAACGGCGATCGCTAGAATCCTATTTGATATTACGCAATAACAATTTATATACACTCGGGAGCTTCAAATAATTCTTTCGGAAATCATCAGTTACGATCAAACTGATCTTCGGATCCATTTTCGACTGGTTTACATTTGAGCATTACTGGGTTAACTTAATCAAGCATACTGTATTTCAAGTTTCTTTAGATAAATATGGACTTTTTCGACTTCTCAAATGGCACACCATGCTTCTCGTTTTTAAAAGACTTACCGGCTAGATGTGTATGTAGTAACGCCGAAAAGACGTTGATTCCCCCCTCAGGTAACTTGCTTTTTTTCAGTCCCTTAAAAAGATTTTTAAATATATGATTATCAGACATTGGTCTTGGTTAACTACTGAAGAACCCTTCATTGGCCGCCAAGAACAAAATCGCTTAATTTGCTTTCACCAACAGTTTAAAGACGATGTCATTTTTCTCCTCCACCGTTTTCTTACGAGAAACATCTCTAGAAAACAACCAATTGAAGTATGTTTGTGTCCTATACAAACAGAAGATGATTTACCACGTTTTATGTACGAAAATCATGCAAACTTGTGTGCCAATCTTGTTTTCGTGGGGCTCTTATTGAACTGCCATCTCCAAATATTCGATTTAGAATCTGGTGAAAGCGTCTTTTAATAACGTCAGAGCTGATATTTTTATAGTGACGGCCTGAAACTACAGCCCTTTTTCATTCAAGACTGCGCTTTTAATGATAGTTTATGCATTTTTCATATTCTAGTGAACTATGAAGATAAGTTGGCCAAGGTTAACCGGGTTTTAATGCCAAACGTTTCTCAAAATAGCTCAATGGAAGCGATAATTCCAGATATAAAAACAAGCAGCTCCAAATTAGGAGATCAAATATAGGTAGATCGCGGTACCTTTTGAGTGCAATCTGGGCTACAAAAGCCGTTTATTTTCCAGTCTGTCTGCTTTGGCGGAATTGACATTGCCCAGTTTACTTCCGCTCCAACCAGCAGTACTCCCGCCTCGTATTTTCGTAACTGTTTGGTGTAGTGAAACCGCAGCCCAGAACTGTCAATCATTCCTGAAGAAAAAAAAACAGTTACCAGACTTGAGATCTTCTGGGAAATGTAAACATTAAACTACAGTCTAGGATTCATTTCCCATCAAGGAAATGCTTCGGCTTCCTTAAGTCAAAAGAGTCAAAAGATTTACGATAAACCAATGTTTTCGCTTCCCCTGCTGCTTGTAAACGTGTGTAAACGGTTCCCTAATTAAAATATTGAGTGCATAAAAAGGTATTTTCTTTATCCATAAGGGACAGACATGAACTCCAACTCTTGTCGTTTTACGTCAGTTATATTTAGTGACACCGTAAAACTGGGTTCCAGCGCCCCAGCCCACCCAACCCCCGTCCCCGCCGTTCCACCCATTTCCAACCCGCCACTGAGCTCCAAGAAACCAAATAATGTCTCACAAAACTCTGACAGGCCCTGTCATTTGCAACTTTGTTGTATGAAAATGTGCGGGCGCCAATTGCGTGCCAGTCATTGTTGCCATTATCGTCAAACTGACCATGAGTGATTAATGGATAATTAAGTAAGTAGACCACATTGTCTGTTAAGACCAAAGTGTCTTGTGAGTAGTAACCGACTATTGAGAGCCCTTGAAAGAACATCTTTTAGCAAGGCTATTTTCGACAAATAAAGTAGCGTACGGGATTGGCATAAGAAGAAGTTTTCACCAGGGATGACTTAATTAAATTAAATACATGTAAGTTTCCATTACCTTCCAAATTCCGAGGATTGTCATAATGGATTTCGAGGACGACGACCTTTGGACTGTCGGCTTTTCCAATGGCGAATCCAACGTGTTCCGGGTAATTAAATGCCTTTTTAAAAGATACAAAATGCAAGTAGGGAATGAAAATTCTATCACCTTTCGCCCTGTTACTATGTTTCTTGTACCCGTCCACCGACCCGAGAGTGAACATAGGGCGGTCAAGAACTAGTAGCTATTGGTTACTGGAAAGAAACTAGTTGCCCTAGCCATTTTCTCCACCACATCAGCCTACGAACAAGTCGAACAAGGTGTATCTGAGGAAAGGAAATAATAATATTCTCGAACATATTTAATCACATCGGCCAAATTGGTTATCAGTGACCATAAGGTCATAGAACGGATATAAATATTTTTGCCAACGTTTTGCTGACGATTAAAAGAAATAATTATTCTCACTAGCTGAATCATGATCACAGTTCACTTGCACAACCGCTTTGACGTAAATATCAGAATATAAGCTTCCTGGTACATAAAGATTCTGATTAAGAGTATCCTTGTTATTTTCCCAACTCTTGTGATGATGGGCACTCCCATGCCTAATCGCTTAGCTGTTACTTTAACGACATCGTCCGGTGGAGTGTACTGTTCTAGATTTGAAGACCTGTTGTGTGAATAAAACTTCTTCTAGTAGAGTAACTGTCTCAGTTATTGCGTAACTTGGCGTAGAAAACTCAATGGAGTAACCGTCTGATCACACATGTCCCAGGTCGCAGATAAAACCTAAGGTCTAGGGGACACTGGATAGTGCGCATCTCACTGCGCAACCGGTAACAATGGAGCAGTACGGGGTTGTTAAAATCCTGTCTTAGCTTTCTTCGGCTTTATTCTCGTCGAGATCGCATGTAAAGAGCCTTATACTCTGAATAGAATAGAGAATCTTTTATATAGTAGATCGACTGAACACTCATCTAACATGGGATGCACATTTCAAGAGACTACAGACCTGGGCCCTGTATGCAGTAGTTCTCCCCTTAATGTTCATGTTCATGACCATGACTGCATCGGTACTGAGCTTAGAATTTGCAATCTTTCTTTATTTATCAAGATCATTATAGCTACTTACTTGTCCACCTATACCCCAGCCAGCAATAATCATGGTTGAGAGGCCAGCACATTCTCTAATTTGAGGAGGCATATTTGAAGCATAGCATACACCAGTATAGTTCAATAGGTGCTTTGGAAAATCATCACTGCACTCGTACACTAATATGTGGTGAACGACACCCTCGTGGCCTGCTTGGATAACAGGTTCAATCTAAGTTTATAAAAATGAGCCAAAGGTTAGTTCCCTTGCCGTTTGTAGTCAAATTTAAATAAAGAAGAAAAGAGCGTGCAAGCCAGAATTAAGCCACAGACTGGATACAAGTTGGTTCGACTCTGTTCTAGATCTCACCTTTACGACATGATGAGTTTCATTGAGTTTAGGGATTTCAAAAGCACCACATATGTAGCTAGTTGCATCACTGGGAAGGGCAGTCTAAAAGACAAAAATAGATATAAATGATCAAAAACATTGTGTAGCTTTTTCAACTCAGAAACTCATGCTTGTGCACCTTAGAATTGGTTGCATTTACGTACACGAGGAATTCAAACTCAACTTTTTTAATTATAAGCATAATATTTGCAAATACAACAACAACAAGGGACCGACCCGCTGGTAGCATTAGCTAACCTAGGCGGAACAGTCCGTAATACCAAAGTAATAAAAAGTTAATGGTCACGTAAACTAAACTTATAAAAAGGACACCTCGACATAATTACTTACACCAAGTTCTGTTAATTAATTTTACATTTTACATATAATTGCTTACACCATGCAAGTATTGTTATCATCAGTTTCAATACTTAAATAAATTCGAATCAAGTAACTCCAGAGTTATTTGTATATTTTTAAAGCTGAAGAAATTGGGAAGGTTCATATAGTCATCATGCGTCTTTAGAATGTCAACAAAGAAAGAGTAGAATTTCGTTTAAAGTGTTTGGAAGCGCTCTTAATATTGCTGGTATGTCATTCCAGATAGCTTCTACTCCTGAAAAACCTAGATTTCTTATAAAAGTTATCAGATGAGGAAGACCAAGTGTTAAATACTGGTGGTATTGCTGCTTAGGTTTAAAATGTTACTGGGTGGCTTTTGATAAAAACGTAAAATGAAAATAAAAATTTAAAAGATACAGTGTCTTTTATGTTGTCCACTAGACGAATTCTGTTGCGGGTAGCTTGTTCTGCTCCAGACTAAACAGTGACAATACTGAAGCCAATAGGCTGTTGACTGGGTTTTGACAAGCATTGCAGTGAGATTTTCAGGTAATTACTCATTTCTAGACATAGGCCACGCAATGATCATACTATTAGCACGCTCAACTTGAGAAAGTATTCTTCTAAATGACGGTTTTTTTTTTTTTTGTCACTGTGTGTTTTAGGTGAACGGCAGCCACTTAGTAGGGTGAATGAGTGGCTTCAGTACAGATTGGTCCCACTCAACAATGAGATGACACACACGGGGATCAACAAGACGCCAAATTCGATGGGGGATCGAGTCCCACCACCAAATTAAACGGACACCGATATATAGAGTACGGTACAAATACACTGCGCACCTCTCGAAGTACAACCACTGGGGTATAAGGACAGCAGGACACAAACACAAAACAAGGACAAAACAAACACGAGATAGAACCAGGCTCTCTCACGGCCCACCACAATCCCGATTTAACGATCCGTATGCCAAGGGAGCAGTAAAATTATTGCTTCCGAGGAGGCACTCTAATAACTCGCGTATATTAAGGAAATTTCTTACAGTTGAAATATACCGTCATACAGTCAATATAGAAAAAATCTCGATTTGCTTGAAAAGGGGCCACGAGGAATCGGTAGGTAATGATGACGTTTCTATTGTTTGCGCGCGCAAGTACGAAATGGTTAGGATGAGGTAAAACACAAAAAATCCCGAAGGGACAGCTTACAATAGGTAGATTTTGTGACATTAATTGCACGTGTTATCAGTGACATTCTGTGGAGCAGTTGTTATGAAAGTTATGTTATGAATCAAAAGACACTCGTTTAGCGCAGATGAAGTTATAAGGTGCGTAGAACAGTGTATATTTTAACACTAAGTGAGTTTGCCAGACAGAGTTCACAAATCTTTGATTGGAAACCTTCGGCTGAACCTTGCCAGACACTCTTTCTGTCTCTTTGACCAGAATAAGATTCGGCCCAAAACAAGCAAGACGAGTGAATGATGCAACAGCTAGCTTCTCACTAGCAGAACGATGGACGATTACAGAAATTCGCCGACCATCACATTCTGTGCTGACTTATTCCCTGCTCACAGATGTCCTTGCCTTATAAAGTTTAAAATAAGACTAGAATGCGCAAGCGTGAACTAAATGTAAAAAGTGAAATAGAAATAGCGAAAAATTAAACTTCTAATTAAATCTTTTCTTATGATTTAGAATAAAGTATTATTGAAACTGAGAATGATTGTTTTGATCAAAGCTGTATAAATCGAACCGAAACTGTGCATGGAACCGTGCGTTTATTTCCTGTATTTATCTTACCTATTGTATGGAATATATGTGAACATCTTCATTATGAATCGTTCAGTATTTCAAAGAGCTATACAAGGAGCAAGAATAGTATATACAGAGTGGGGGCAGCTGTAGTGTCAACTAATACTAGTATCCTTTTATCGAGGAATCGTTACATCGAAACTCCTGGTATAACGATATGGCAGTAAAATAACAGAAAACATCGTTATATTGGGGTATACCTAAAAAGTACTTTTATATCAAGCCATTTTTTCGGTAAGAAGGACGCTGAAAACCTTGCATTGCGTGACCAAGGTCTCTGGATTTGGTCGGATTTGGTCGGATTTGGTTGGAGAAAATTTGGCCACCAAAGATGACGAACTTTATCTTCAAGATCTGCCAATATATAATATACTAAATATCTCTTCAGCAAAGGTGGGGGGAAAAACCGTCACCCACTAAGACAAGAAAGAGAAACACACTAGGAATTAATTCGCAGGCAGGCGGAGGGGGAGGATTGTGGAAAATGCTGAAAATTGGTTCAAACCAGTGATGTGAACAACGTGATGGTGAGCGATGGAAAGGGGGCGAGCACATGGAAAAGCGCCCCTAAGAATTATATAGTCCGGAACGCCCTAAATTCTGATTGGCTGGTAATAAGATAGGCTTGGAACCTGCCGCCTTGGCCTGCAAACCATTATCAAATGCCTTCCCATAAAATCCCATTATGACGTCGTCATAACGGTGTCTTTTTTTTTCACTAAATTTGTAATGGCTATCAAATTATTCACAAATGTAACATTTCAAGCACGCAGCAGTGTCCTTAAACAGTTTGCAAAGCACTACAAGTTTACAAAGTTTGCACAGTACATGGGAATCGTGCAAGTACAACAAAAGTAAAGTTAAACATTTGAAGTTGCGAGTTTTATCGTCGGTATACTTATCGACAAGTTCACTTTTTCATTGTTTTTCTACAAAAGAAATAAAAAGAGACTGGCCAGAAAATAATGCGTTATTGCGCATGACACACTTTAGTTGCAACAGTCCTTCTTAAGTCGTGTTTGTTTCATTAATGTTTCTGTTATCACAGTCAAAGTACAGCATAAGTAGACCAAGTAAGTTGACAGGAACGTCTGGGATTACTCGATTACTTTAACGTTGTTGTAGTAAATTCAATGTTTTGCTTAAATTGTGACTGTTTACTGAAAATATCATTGTATCGGGATAGATTTTACGTTCGGTAAGCTTATAAATTCTCATCGTTATATCGGGATTCTGTCCTATACATTTTATTGTAACTTTTGTCGGTACATATGATATTCATCGTTATACCGCGAACATCTTCATCATCGTAAACGCGCCCCATACGCGTCTTTACGAAATCGATCAATTACCATTTACCCGTACACGCGCAAAATTTAGATGCTGTATGAAGTGCGCCTACGCGTTGTACCTCTGTGTCACCGTAAAAACTAATTCCTAACAACAAGAGAGGATAGCCCCTTTATCCTCTCTTGCTAACAATTAAATCTCGCCATAACAAGAAGTTAAGGTGGTCTTAATAAAAGAAATCACAGGAAATGTCGAACAGTTTAAGCCACATACACCCCAAAATAGGGCACCCCTAGATTTACCATTGTCGATGTGTGTGAGCGTTCAGTCCGCTTTTCAGTGAAGTTGGAAAGGAATTAAATAAACCTAGACCAGATCTAGGCAAATCAGTGCTCGACGATAACCTTTTCAACTTACTTATAACTATCGGCATTAAATACGTTTACGAGTACTATTCAGTGAAACTACGTGTGACATTAACGCACCAAAATAAGCCATAGGGTAACCGTTAGGCAGTGGCTGCAAAAAATGTATCCACAGAGCTATTAAAACGTTATAGAAACCAGAGAAAAAGGAGGTCATTATTCAATCAGTAAATCTTTCATTCCATGTATGCTCAAAATAGAAATGCTTAGGTGTAGCATGAAAATTTTGTGATTTGTCTTTCCAATATAACATGGCAAATTAAGTCACATTTGTGTAAGGAACTTGCATCAACCGTCAACCATCAAACTGCTTGAAATTTAACCATTAACCGTCAAAGCAAACCCTTATGTATCTGCCCAGTCTCAACTAAAATTTTACGCTCGCTTTATAAGGAATTTTTAGCGAAGAAATCAAAAATAACACTTAAAGTATTACCTTGTTGTGCCTTATATCAAAGGTTTCGGTATCAGATGGTAGAGTTGGTTCATTCTTTGCGTTGTTTAGGAGATAAACACTCCTCTGTCCTCGGTTTCCTGCACTGTGCTTTAAAATGGAATTTTCTGAAGCTGGATCTTCTGGGTGATAAGCGTAGATCACTTTTGTTGTCCCTGTCTGAAAGTTAAATTGAAAGTGTCACCAAGGCCTCAAACACCATTTCATTTGAACACTACACAGTGACTACAGTGTTTGAGAGCCACTGTGAGCGACAGCGAATAGAAACTTTTTGGGAGGATGAAAAACTAAGTCGTCAACATCGTAAATTTTTTTCGCCTTCTTTTTCACTATCTAGATGCCTAAATTCGACAATGCTTTACGACAAATGATAACAGGGGTTTGTTCCACAATAAATCATATTGCTAAGTCTTCGGTTACCTCGTTCCCAGTCTCCCTTTCCACCTCAATTCTTTCAGACACACTGGAAACTTTGCATCTTTGGGAGAATGAAACCGGCAAAAAATTTAATCTTATGATTGTATGAGTTGATAAAGCAAATTTGCTACCCTGAAAAGATTTAGGCTACCAAAAGCTTTTTAATTTCGACCTTTATGGGGGCAAGTTAAGTTGATACAGAACGGCTCCTGGTTGATACAACTAAATTTTGATATTTTAAAGACGTTCACTCATGTCAATGTACCCACCTCAATTTTATTGTCTTGAGGATCACATGTGTCCAGTTTTCTTTTAAATTTCATGGTGGTTTTTCCATTATCTTCCTTAAGAGATATCAGCTCGTAATCCTGCTGCGAATCGATATTTGGCATCACGCGACCATCTGCATGTCGATCCTGTAATGTGCAACAAGCTTTTTCAGACATACGAACGCAAAGTTCATTCATAAAACTGCCTAAGTCACACGCTGAGATAATGCCTGAGTCACACGCCTGCGGACCGGAACGTACACAGGATAATTTCTCACGCCTGATAGACAATTCCGAACTTCTTTTTCATTAACTATTATGTAAACGTAAAAAAATTGAGGTCAATATTCCAACCCTAAATAGTCCCCTGAACAGCGCTAAATGTCGCGTCTAGTCCTGAATAACAAGCTAAAAGGTCGCTTTTAGACCAAGAGCTTTGCAACCGGTTATTTGGTAACTTTCGGAAATCATCGGAAAATGTTCGGGAATCTTCGGCAATGTTCGAGATAGCTTAGCAGTTAGGGCTCAAATTCGCTTATCTCACGCACTACACTTTTAATTCTTATACGCCTGTCACACAGGTTATGTCACCAGAAGTCGTCGGAAATTCGGGAGATGTGAACTTGACTTAAGAAACGTAATGACAATATACGAAATTGCATCTCGAAATCCAAATCGACAGACTGTGGATAATAAAATCATGTTTCAATACAATGCAATCTAATACATCATACAGTTTAACCTCTGTTAAGCGGTCATGCACTCTCGGAAAACAGCCAGTCACCACTCCATGAAGATTCGGATTATGTAATAGAGATGTAATGAATGTTAGGTCACAATAATGGCAAAAACTAATCATTATAGCTCTTTGGCTCTTTATGGGAAACAAAATGAAATAAAACACTTGCATTTTGAAATACTGTTGCTTTTTGTATGTGGCCTAAGAATTGCGTTTTTATTTATAGTTTTGGTCTCGAGGTAATCTAGCTTGCGTGTAACAGTTTTTTTAATATTTTTTTTGGGGGGGTGGGGTTGGTAACAATGAGACTGGATTAAAGAAGAATTCGTATGAGCGCTCTGATCTAAGTCGATTGACCCACAAAAGAGGGAGTAACTGTAAAACACTGACTTCCAGTCCGTGAACTTCTTTTAAACTGACTTGGTTCCATCCATCAGCGGATTAACTCACAGACCCCCTCTAGAAAGTACAAGTGAACCAATACGGCACCAAAAACTTACTGGTAGTTATGTGCGTGCACTGTACGATCTCAGATGTGTTGCTGTTACGTAATTGTAGAAATAAGCAAAACATATAGCCACTATACAACTATTTCTTTTGTTTTTGCAAGGCTTAGCCATGACTATTTTTAAATTTGTTTCATGGTTTAAGATTTAAGTCACGGCAATATAGTTACGTAATGAAAGGGATTCAAACCACGCAAAACTCAAACACCAGCATATTCTGGTGCTTAGCAGCTACTTTATAGTGGGCTAGTCAGTTTTAATTACATCATACCCCTCCATGAGTTCGAATCGGAGGGGTCACACCGAACACTGTAATGGCCAAATGGAGCTTGTATGCCAATTGTGATAGAGAGTGGTCTTTCTTTTTCTCACTAGTCAAGCAACTGGCGCACAATTTCAATTGTAAAAGGGCAAGGCAAGTTATTTAGCATTCGTTCAGTTCCAAATGATTACATCATCATGGGAGTAAGTGAGATGGATGCACGCGGCATTCATGCGGCTTTCATCGTTAGATTACTAGTACTTGCCTTGAAGTACGTTTGTCCGTCTTTGACCCATCCTATTACAATATCTGCTCCCTCCATTTTGCCTTGACCGCTGGAGATGCCAAATCCTACCCATCCCGTCGTCTTCGCCTCAACAGTGAAGAAAATTTCCTTTTTTGCAGTGTCTACGTTCCAGTACAGCTTGACATTTTGGCCTTCGTCAAGTGGAGAAAAGAACGAAAGTTCTTCAGCCAGATTAGCTGAGGAAGACTGCACTACTGAGAATGAATTTAAAAGGAGAACGCACAGCGCAACTGATAACATTGTGCTCGTCTTGTCACAGGGGCTAAAAATGAGCCGAACCGTAACAGTTACCTTCATTTATATTATGCCTTTGATACGTCATACGAATTTTTCTTTTTGTGTTGTAATCTAAGCAAACCACTAAAATATAATCACAATATTTATTAAGGCGAATTCATTTTTTTGGTTACGTAATACTTTGCAAAAGATTTGTTAAGATTAGAGTGCAAAACCATTTCACTGTCGCAAGACAGAGAACAAATTAGGAAATGAAATCACTTAGACTCAAATTACAGATCTCCATGAAGTGCAAAAGATATTTAGCGGTTGTTTGACTGGGAACTAATCCGCGATATGACCACTACATCCGGGAATTTGGTGGCGTATTTTTAGTGTGCATGTAATACGAGTGGTCATATCGAGTAGCGACGTCACGATTCCCGCTTTGTTTCATACTCTGATGAATGAACTTGATTATATTTGTTTGTTGTTCGAAATATTTATGCATACGGCAAAATGTGATGCACTTTCTGAAGAACGAGAGAACAAGCAAACACTCACGTCAAGCAAATGACTTATATTCTTAAGGTTTTCAGTGCAGTCAAAAGTTGCGACGAGAAAGTAATAGCCGGACATAGCTGCCGAGGAACAATCATAAAAAAAAATTCGTGTAGGCTGTGAGAAAGAATTGAACAGTCCTGATTTGTTAGAGCTTTTGATCAAAGTGTCAAACAATGGATTCTCTGTGCTTATTTATTTAAACAGCAAGAAATTGCACGAAGTATCTCTATTAAAACGAATTAACTTCTCAAAACTTGTGACGAGAGAGAAGTATCCGGATATAACTACATGTTTGGATTCTAGCTGTGCATGTGGCAGCGAGGAATGCCTTGAAGTACATTCGTAATTTTGCATTTATAAGTTCAGTATTTGTACTAAGGAATAGCAATATCTATCCGGGTTTAGGATCCAAAGCAGGATTTTAACAGATTTCCGGATTGCGGATTCATCCATTTTTTCGGCCCGGATTTTAAACTTTGCGTGAAATAATATATATTTGCCCTGATTTCGGATGCAGGACGACATTTTGACAGAGGATTTGGGTAATAAACCATAACGCATAGGCGGATTTGCATACATCTATTCATCCCCCCTCAACACCGTCGCGAACGAGTGAGATATTGTTTTTGCCACAAGAACATCGTGTAATATTCTCTATATATTTGGATAATGGCAAAGTCAGTGAAGGGAGACATTTTCCGTTTATTCTTTAGTACCCTTGTGGTTTATTGAGCATCCAAATTTTCGCTATGGCCTTGTTTAAGTAATTTTAACTGAATTTGCATTGAGAAGTTTTAGTAGCCGCAAAAGCACGTGCCATTTTATGAGCTAGGCTTTATTTTCAATAGCTTTTTGTTCACTGAGTAATAATCCTGCCTAAGCCAACAGAGCTGCGACGGGCACGAACAGCTTCATTGCTAATTCCTCTCTTCAACTGCACACGTTCTACTTCAATGTTGACTTCTAAAAGGAAATATTGATTTTACGAATAATAGTTTTCTTACTTCAATTTGTCTTTTTCATTAATGGCTTAATTTATTTCGAAGACGTCAGTTTGATAGTTAAACCTTTCCACCAGGTGTTATGTTATGTTTAGCCACATAATTAATCAACCTTAAAGTTATTTCATGGCGAAAATAGCGTTCTGTAGACTGCCGGGTGAACAGTGGAAACGTCTTAGTTTAGAAAGTGAAAAGCTTTACTGGCTTGCACATTTGCAGTGCGTCGCTTTTAGTGAAAATTAGCTGAGCTTGCAATTTTCTCTTGTTCTCAGCTATTAGCGCTGCTTGCTGGCTTTGCATGAAATACACACTTTCATAAAATTCCTAATTAAAAATAAGCCCTTACTTTTTCAAGGGAGTGTTAGAAAGGGTTTAGTATATTCGGAACAGCCTCTTTTATATGGAGAAAATCGACTGATTTCATTTTGGAGGGAAATTATATAGTGCGTTATATGACCCAATATTTCAAAGATATTGGACCCCAAATAATGCCGCGAGAATCCACGCACTCAGGTGTAAAAGCGTGGATTTGAATTCAAAGTCAAACCGGATGTTTCTTCGATGGCATTCCTGCATTCTTATATAATTTTTATACTTTCGCTGCAACATTATTATTTTGATTGACAGTCTGATCGGGGCAATTCGCAGATGGACCAAAGGGGGGGGGGGAGAGTTCTGGACCAAATAGTCAAGTCGAGTTGCAAATTTGCTCTCGTAAGATCCCACGGGGATTGTTGAATTTGAAAATTTGCATTGGCCCTTAAGATCATTGAAAAGAACTTTCATAATGGAAAAAAAAAATGATGGAAACTGCTCCGTTAGGAACTGCTAGCAACTTCAAAAAAAGCAGACGGTTATAAAAGAACATTGTGCCAATTGATGGAGCATAGCAATATTACTGGATTTGATATACAGTATACAGAACTTTGGGAGAAATTCTCTTCTTAAAACTCAACTCAAAATGTTACAAAGAAATGTGGCACTTGTACATTGGTTATTACTTCAATTGCAACTGCAAAACATTTGCCAACTGCATTGTTGGGCTTTTATTACCCTTGTGGATTACACAAGTAGGATTAATTACAGTTACAGCTATTAAGCTTTTTAGGACGGTTATATATGAAGGACCTGATATAATACTAGTGAATACGAGAAATAGCCATTTCAAGTGGCCGAATAAGCACTTGTAGGGTTGTTTGGGGGGACAGGAAACCCAATATCAGGGGACTCACAATGCTATACAATATATTTTTCAACGCGCAAGTAAATAGAGAGTTGCACTTTATCCTGAAGTTTGATCATCATGATTTACGGTACTTTCACTGATTTCAAGCAACCGAAGCATAAGTATTTAACACAGATACATCCAAATCCCAAATTGCTTCTCATTAAAACGACAAGAGTCAAAAATTTTAAAACAATTCCCTCTTAGAGCCTAAATTTTATCGCCTTATTAAGAGAAAAAAACATACACGCGCACGTAAAGGAAGCGCGAAAATAATTTATCATTGCAATGCAATCAAAAGTCCATGAAGCCCAAACAATTCAACAAATGCTTGCCTACCTCCTACGTATACATTTCGGCCACGCAAACACTCTTTTTTCAAAGCGGTGAGCTATTTCATTTGTTTAGCCGATACAAGGGTAGAGGTACAAACCGAAGGTGGTTTTAAAAAAACATCGAAAGACAAATTTAATGGCCTTAGGAAACAGCCGGCATTTGGCGAAGCTACCACTGGTTTCCCTGCCAAGTAACGTCTGAGAAACGAGCGCAGAAATTCCATACTGATGTCGCGTCACTACCCAGATCTGGGTAGTGCTTCTGATTGGTTGAATAAAATTTCCCACGCGGCACGACCAATCAGAAGCACTACCGAGATCTGGGTAGTGACGCGTCATCAGTATGAAATTTCTGCGCTCGTTTCTTAGACGTCATTTGGCGGGGAAACCAGTGGTAGCGTCGCCAAATGCCAGCTGTTTTCTCAGGCTACAAATTCTATGGCCGTCTTAAAATTGATTCAAACCGGGCTAATTTTGCTTCATGGGACCAGGGGGAGGCTCCTGAAGCTCCCCTTCTATAATTTCAAAACAGCTCATAATACGGCAGCTACCAAAATTACACAGAATAATAATGTACTCATTATTTCCAACATCTAAATAAGCCGGGTAAAAGTAAGGTAAGGTAATCTTTATTTATGCACGCTGTTACAAATTCATCAGGCATAAAATATTATAAAAAAAATTAAAACCTTAATTACATTTACTGGATTCCGCTAAATATAGTACTAAAATTATTCAATAATTAGTATGTAAGAAAAAAAAAGCCTGTTTTCCATGAATGCCGTACCTTACTTGATGATATTATAATAATTGTTCAAAAGTGACTAAAAATTACGTAGGGATTATCTGCTTGCCTTAATGTTTCAGGAAAACTATTCCACAGAATAGCACCGCTTTAGCTAAAAATCTTACGAAGATAATTTGTGTGTGGCTGTGGAATAGTTAATTTATTTACAGAATCTCGAAAAGTGTACGAAGTGGTATTAAATCGAGCAATAAATTTCGAGCTTAGGTACTCAGGAGCGAGGCCATTAAGGGATTTAAAAAACATTAACTAAGGCTTTTTGGATATCACGCTGGGTACTAAGATTTTTCCAATTTAAAAGCGTAATCTAAGCATAACGTGACTGATACAATGACGTAATTAGACGTCACCATTACGTTATATTGTTGAATTTATTGGCAGAATCAAAATTCCATCAATTTTCCCCTCAAAGCGAAAAATATTAAATATAAAGGTGTCTGACAAAATCAAGAAGTTAGATAACATATTACTGTCAAACTCAGAAAACCGTGAACACCTGAAAAATTTCAGGAATGTTGATTGTGTTCCGGGCCTAACCACAATAAAGTTCAGGATACGCAGGCAAACCTCAAAACCACAAACTAATTACCGTTGCTGTTTGCCGTTTAGTTATCTCGCGCCTTATTGGCTAATTTCTCGCAACACAATAACATTCCATAAATATTTCTGGTGTTCATGGTTTTGTGAGTTTCACAGTAATAATATGGCAGTTATGTCACGATGACGCCATTTATTACTTTAAAAAAGGATCTTGAACCATCCACCATTTTGAATTTATTAAATGTATTCAGTTTTGCTTAAAACCCATATTAATCGAGGTAATAGTGGCAGAAAAATTGTCCTGTTTATAAAGGATACTTAGGAAGCAAAAAATCTAGCAGTTGTGAAATTCAGAGAGGAATTAAGGGAGCGGTCATTATTTATTGAGGCGGGGGGGGGGGGGGGTTGGGGCTAAACAAGGGGGAATTTAGCTGATCCCCCTAATAACTTTTGATGACTTTCGCGCAACCCCCACCCCCCATGTCTTCATTTTCCAAGCAAATTTGAGTGGTCCCCCTTCGGAATCCATCCAAAGGTTCCAGCGATCTCCCCTTTCGGTGCTCAGTTACGACCGACTGACCACCCCCTTTTGTTCTCCTAAAAATCAAGTGCTTCCCCCCAAAAAAAAAAAAAAAAAAATTCCTCCGCCCTAGTGTAGAATGTTCATCCGCGAACTTTAAGCTAAACTGGGAAGATGGATCTAAAAAAACTGCGCCAGTGGCAAACTTTGACTTTGTGCCCGACTTTGTGTCTGACTTTGCCGTCTTAAAACACTACAACGAGTATTCGGGAAATTGTTTAACCAGCAGGTTTTAATCCTATTTTAATTTTACCAAACTTCAAACTTATCTTGAGCAACAAGAAAATGCCTGAGGAAATTCGTGGTAGCCCGTAGGGTAAATTTATTTTTAAAAAATTTATGTGAACGTCGGTACGTTAACTGTACAGAAAGATAGTGAAACTTGGTAATTTAGAGCTTCCCAGTAACACGCAGAAGAGCGGCAAGGACGTAGCTAGACATTTTGTGTCGTACGCACAGACTAAGATTATACTGCCTGGAGGGTGGTCCGGCCGTCAGCAGTCTATAGCCGACGTAAGATCCTCTACAAACAAAAAGATAAACGCTTGGCCTTAGAATTTGCACAGTGGCAATACTATTCACCTCAATCTCCTTTGTGAAAAATTAAGAAAAAGAAGAACCTCTTTTTTTATCTAATATCTTCGACATTATTGCACTGAGGTACGCATGTTCTGGTGTACGTAAGATCCTCTACAAACAAAAAGATAAATGCTTGGCCTTAGAATTTGCACAGTGGCAATACTATTCACCTCAATCTCCTGTGTGAAAAATTAAGAAAAAGAAGAACCTCCTTTTTATCTAATATCTTCGACATTATTGCACTGAGGTACGCATGTTCTGGTGTACGGTCGCTATGCTCCTGGTCCGATCTTTCGAAATAACGCTGCGCGCAGTTAGTATTGTTAGGGCCTGCTTACATGGAGGTGGGGGACCCCAGGTAAGTGAGGTAACCCGCTTAGGTGGGGTAACCCGCTTGTCCATATAACCTCTCATTTTAATTTGATTGCGTTTACATGATAAGTGGAATGACCCGCCAAGGCGGGTAGCCCGGTGTGCCAGACCGGGTAACCCTCCCAGCCGGGGTCAAATTTTGCCATGTAAACGTATCAAGGTGGGGTACATCAAGTTCTCACAAAATTCACTTTGGCGGTGGCTTTGCGTAATTATTACAGGTAACAATACAAAGCCATGGCACTGAAGGTTGCAGCAAGAGCAGCAAGTAAGTGTAGAAGAGCACTAATCCCCAAAACGCGTGGTTTGCCAGCATTTTTATTGTTTACGTGCTTAGCGACCAATTCAATAATCTTGAGAAAGGGCACCCCGGGATGGCGGGGTTGTAAGATTGCATGTAAAGGAGGGTTAATATTTAACCCCACCTAAGCGGGTTACCTCACCTATCTGGGGTCCCCCACCTCCATGTAAACAGGCCCTTAGACCCGAAACTCTGACAAAAAAAACTGAAATTAACATTAGCGAATTCCTCACTTTTGTCTGACGTTTGTCATTAAAATGTCATGTTTGTCTGTCTTTTGTCATCTAAATGCGAAAAATGACAAAACTCTGACAAAAGTTGCAAATTAGTCAGTCTGACGTCATTTGCACGCTACGCTAATTTTCACATAGACCATAATGCACCTTGTTTATCCTCAAAATCTTTGCATAACCATCGTTTCCAGTTTCTCCTGGATGTTGCAATTGTCCCAAGAGAAATCGATGACGATGCTTATGCAAAATTTTGGGGGATTAAACAAGGTGCGTTATGGTCTATGTTGAAATTGTGAATAAAGCAGGAACACAGTCGGTTCTGTCTTGATCAGACTGAGACAGCAATTAGAGTTACGGCTGTAACAAGCAGTCCAAGGTGAGAAGGAACTACAGCTTTGCTGCCAACGGATTCTGTAAGTCTGCAGCTGGATTCCGGTTTGTAAGGTGTCCTGATCAAAGGCTTGGGTTTGCGAACATTCTCCTAAAAAAAGCGATGAAAATTGATCAGTAGTATTTAGCAGATCAACTTAACAATAATTCTCTTCCATGCCCTCCCAAGCATTCCCTTGATTATCAACTACTTTTCACTGCCGTTCTTGTGGTGGTTTTGTAACGTTCTGATAAATGAAGGCCAGTGCGAAAAATTACTTTGATTCAATTACGTATGCTAGACAGGTAAAGAGACGAGAATTTGGCTCAAGTCGCTCTGTGCTCCATAGGCTTCATAATTGACAATTTTAAGGCTATCTTGTTTCTTTTTCCTTAATAACAACTAATAACTGTCTAATATACCCCTGGGTTGCCGCGGCTTGCACAAAAACTGTTGACTTCGGCATTATCTTTGTAAGCTTTGACCAATCCTTCGTTGACGTTATCTGTCCAAAAACCTGGTTCTCGCGTTTCATTTAAATTTCTGTGATAAAGAAGGCAAACAGTGATACAAATTTGAAGCATAAACTAAAGCCCAATTCGTTGTATCGCGCTGCACGATTTGGAAACTTCAAAGGGATTTTAGGTTAAAGTCTGCGGTTCCGTCAATCTGAATGGTGGTGAAGCTCAAATCACAACAACACTCACCTTCCTAGGTTCGCCCGCTTAAGATGCTTGCTAGGACACTTTCCAAAAGTCAGATCATGTTTTTGAATAAGCTGATCTGGCTGGATAGTCCTGATTGATAGTGGAATTCTCCTGATGACTGGACTGGTCTGGCCAGCCAGATCTCACTTGAAAAACTTTCGAAACGAGCAAACCCGACTGCAAGTAATAATTTAATATCTCTCAAGTATTTATGCTTATACACCGTTGAGATCAAACAATAGGTCAAAACCCAAAGTAAAACAATGCAATTTCCGGGGATACTCAATCGACTGGTTTGATTCGGTGATTCTTTTAATCCTACGAATGTTTCCCTCACTTGTAAGAGAAAGGCATGCCTACTATCCTCCATCCAGCTATCTTCCATACCTCTCTTCATGGCAATTCTCTTGGATCATGTTGGATTTCGGATCTGTTTTTCCCATCTTGTAGGAAAGCGCTATTTGCATAAACCCAGTTCCCATTCAGAAAATTGATGGAAAAGAAAAACCTAAAATCTCTTTGAAGTTTTGCAAAACACGCAGCACGATACACGAATTTGGTTATATATAAGTGATCATTAACAAGTGTTTTAAAACTCAAATTGACTGTTTCATTAAGGAAATGCTGTTGTTGGGATGGTGCCTTGAAAGATCAAATTTCAAGCTGAGGTGTTGAGCGTGTTTACCTACAAATTTGTCCGTCCGATCGGAATTCAAGAAGGTTCTCTATTTTTACAAGCAAAAGTACCGTAAGAGAGTCTTTAAATGTTTCAAAAAAAGATTCTTTAGTTACAATCTTGGGCTTACAATAAAGGATCAAAGAGGGAAAAGTTGCAATCGGCAATAGTCACAGTTCAGTGATTTAAACACAAAACTAATTTTCTTCCGGTCTCCTATATATCGATCGATGAGGTGTTCAAAACAAATATTTTATGTCTTATTTGACTGTTAATTGTGTGGTGTTGTGGGACATTTTTATGAGTCAAGCTGCAAATAATGAATTTTAGATTTCCAGTCTGCCATCATTTGAAATTATATGATCTGATTACAACATTCAAAAAAATTTTCACAAGATTGTTTTATTTTTTGAGAAAAGCCGGAATAAATTGGCAACTTCAACATTCCGATTTTCCGAGTGAATGTTTCCTTTAAAACCCTGTAAAAATGTGGTTATTTTTACGTCTTATGGCAACTAAGTAAAAATGTTTATAGGTTATGTTACAGCTCAAAATTAAATTCAGGTAAAAAGTAATTTTTTTAAACCTACTTGATTCTCTATTTCCTTTGTCCCCTAGCCCTAATTATTCAAGAAATATTTAGGGCTAGGAGACAAAGTAAATTTAAAATCAACCTATAGGTTAAAAGATTTTAGTATTTACCAAATCAGTGAATAGCAATTTTCGCGCGTTTTCAGATTGGCTGCTGTAACTCGGAATACCCTTGGCGACCGGAGCCAAGATGGCGTCACGTTTCAAGACGTTTTCGGAAGACGAAATTTGAGCGAAAACTGAAGCAGTAGTACAAACAAGTGTCAAGAAAGCGACGAAGTTGGCTTGTCGATGTTTACCGGTCGGTAGAAAATTATTTTCATGCTGAATTTGCAACAAAATCGTAAAGGGGCGGTGCCTCGCATGGGGCGTTAGTCCCGTTGCACCTACCCCTTTTGGGTTTTGCTTCTTTTCTTTTCCTTTTTTTTTTGTGTTGTATTATAAATTTATATTGTATATTACAAGAGGAGTACCCAATAAAGCCGTGGAAAAAAAATTCACTTAACAAAAGTCCCCGAAATGTTTGTAAATTGTAAACAAAGTTCCTACTAAGTGACGATTTTAATTAACAAAAAGTTACTTTTTTTCATTTTTATACACCTGATTTGGTTAATACTAAAACAATTATCCCCCTCAGGGTCGGTGAATAGTGGTGGATATATATCTTGGCGCTTCGCGTATCGGTATACATTACCACCACTATTAACCTCCTCTTTGGGGGATGGTTGGATATTAACCTGAATATAATTTTGACCTGCAGTATACAGATAGAAACTAGTCGAGACTTGTCCATCAGGTTTTAATGCCCTTGCAGAACTCTACCATAATTTGCAAGTATAAGGTATCTAGTTTTTGTTAGTTGGCACGACTCCTGTCACTGTTTATGCATACCTGAGACCAACTTTTCCAGCCCAGTTGACGACCGCTGGCCATTCACTTGAAGTGCATCTTGACAAAGCGACTTTGGGGTAATAGAAAGCAAACGTTAAGCACATTTCTTCATAAGTGGAAGGCCCTCCCTAAAAAAAGGGAGAAAACAAAGAACCAAAAAGAACCTATTAAACAGTATAAAGAGAATAAATGATTTACGCCCCGTTCAGTTTCCGTTCGAAACGAATAAGGTGGCTTCAATTAATATTGCTGGTTTTCAGTGTCACGCCATTCAAAATAGATCAAAATAAAAGTCAAAACCATTCGACAGATAAAGTCCAGAATCTGGGAAATGAAAGGACGTAAATATACAAAGACCCTCGCAAAGATTTGGGTCGAAGGAATAATTCGCATGCGAGATATCCGAGGAAATGTTTTACCCAAATTTATAGACATTTGTATGGAGACACCATGCTGGAGCTCATCCGGATGAGCTCCAACATGGCGGACGGAAACTAACGGAAACATCTGTTACCGAGTTTTGCTACAAAAGTGTGAATTTACTCCTAGAGGAACTCATAAAAGTAATAATTTTTTTAATACTTGAATTGATTAGATAGCAAAATTCTTCAGAAAAAGTCACTTTTTTAACCTAAATGACAGTTCTCTCGGCCGTCATGTAAATGTTGCGTCACGCAAAAGCTTAGCAATTCAAGCGCACTCTATTACAAAACCAAGAAACCTTTTAATGCGAAAATTTGTTTGAAAATCAGTTTTCAGCTGGTCTAATACACCATGAAAGTAAAATCTCAGTACGATCGATAGTTTTGTACATTAGTTTGAATTTTAGTGACGTCATGTGAAAACCAACAATATATATTTAAAAGCGAGAATTATACGCCTAGTACTACGTCTGTTAAGACCTGTAATTAATTCATAAGCTACAAACGCACATTGGGGTAACGAACATTTTGCGATTACCAGCAGTAGTATTCCGGATTTATAACTATACTTTATGTTACATGTTAAATAAGGAAGTGATAAACATGCAGTTTTGCGAGCGGTCAGCGGCACCTCCCGTGACGGCGAGTGTTTTAAATTAGACAAACAAACATGGCGGCGAAAAAGCAATGGTACACAGAATACGATTTCACAAAATCTCCTCATTAAAATTTTGTGATATTTGGCAGAAGTTTTACTTTTATCGTAGTTTAAATAATAAGAACTTTAAAATGGAAGTTGAAAGACGAATTTTGTGACGCATTTAATAATTACAGTACCATTATATTATTGATTATCTAAAAACTCGTCTGTTAAAATTTGGTCAAATAAGTTTCAAATGGTAATGATTAATTATAATAAGCTGTGTGTAAGTTTATAGGAAAATCTAATGAGCGAATTCTATATAAACCGAGCAAAAGTGAAAATTTAAGGTTGTATTCAGTCGTTCATGTTGCGATGGAAACTGCGAAAACGTCAAATTTTACCTGTCAATGAAAATCTTTTATCAGTGTATTTTTCAACTGTCAAGTTTCAGCTTGTGAGCTGCAACCTTTTTCTTGCCATGATTTGACAAATGACATATACTCACAAACTGCCTAAACTGTGTTCAGCCACCTTAAGAAGAAAAAATAACACGATTTTGACAACTTAATAGGTCTCTCTAGTTAAAATACTATCTACGAAAGTCACATAGAGAACGTCTACTGTACTTAAACTGAGTTGAACTGAGACTTAAAAAGTAGTAATTATGTAAATTAAAGTTGTTGTTATTGTTGTTGCTGTTGTTGTTTTTACAGGGTGCGCGTTCTCCCATAAGATTGTGAGTAACATTTGCGAATTGGGCAGTCCACTAGTTCAAACATCCATATAAACGGTGAAAATGCATTTTCTTTTGGTTGTTTGTTTCTTTGTTTAGTTGTTTGTGTGCCTTTTTTACTATTATCAACCTACAGTAGTCACCAAGAACCGATCGTTAGTATCATAAATGCAGACGTTAATCAAGGCATCACCCTGCAAGAGAAGACAATAAATGTCATAAATGGGCAAGTGTCAAGAGAGGATATGCAAGCAAGTGAAAAGTTAGGTATTAAATTGCCCATTTTGAGGGTCGGTGTTTTGTCGAATGGCATTACGGAACTGTTTTGGGGGACTAACTTAGACCCAGCTTCCTGTACAACCTTGTATTAACCAAAAGGGACCTTATACAGGGGATGTCCGCAACGGCGCGCGGACGTTCATAATGCGTCTTTGCACTTCTTCCGGTAGCCATGGAACGAAAATTCCCGCCATAGCTTGTGTTGTCTGAGACGTCAAAAAACAGTGTTTGCCGTTTCGTCCAAGACGTGAGTAAATTATTTTCAATTACGATTCTTCTACAATTTGTTAATATTCTCGACTTATTATAAAGCTAACACATTTCTTTTGTTTGTATTAAATATTATTCCGATTTTCAAGGAATAAATTCGCGAAAAACATATTTCTTTCTTCTGCATGGATCTATTGAAACGTGTACTGTAAAGATTTATTGCTCTCTGTAAGTTCTCTTCATTTCTTTTCCTAACTCGGTTAAGCAGGGTTAATGTAGACGAACTTAACTAGAATTAATCTTTATTGCGTAGATCTCGCTGTAAACAAAACATGGTTTGTGCAGCAGAAAACCAAGCTTTAACGTTTACTGTTATATATATGATCAAACATGGAGTGGACTGAACGATATTCCCTTTTTTTCTTTTCTTTTTTTTTTTCAAGAGATTCTCGTTCTTGAACCATTCAAGATGAAGAAAAGAAGCATCCAAGGGGCCAAATTTTGGATAAATAGCGAACAATCTATATAAACAGCCTACATACTTCCCCGATTCAGAATGACGAAGCATTCTGTCGGAGAACGATAGACGCTTTTGAGCGGGAACGGCGAGAAGAGCCCCTGGGGACAATGTCTTACCAGACCAGTTCCAAACGTTTTCTGGCACCAGTCAGAAGGCAGAACGGCGGCGACCGTTTAGAACTGGTCTGGTAAGACATTGTCCCTAGGGGCTCTTCTCGCCGTTCTTTACTTTTCTTCGTATTTTTCCGCCCGTGAAGACTTTCCCTCGCCCCCACTATCTGCCCCTAGGTCTCCGAGGATGGACCGAACCTAAAATGCCTAGGGACTAGGCTGAGGGAGAAATATAGAGCAAAGATGGGAGACAAAGGGTAGGCAAGTGTCTGACAAGTAGGACTGAAACAGATTTGATTGACATTGAAAAAATAATCTCAAGGAAATAGCGGAATGAGGAGGGAGAGGACAAAACGCGGAGCCCTACTCCGTGGAGTATCTAAAATGGATTACGGCCCTCAACTGAATCACTTTTGGTCAAATAAAAACTTTATCAAGATGATGAAACATTAAGACGTACATAACTTTACTTTATTGTAGCTTTCCAGCTCTCCGATTGTTACAGTTTGATGCAGTTCACAAACCGCTGAGCACCTCAAACGGAAGGCTTTGATCAAATTACCCGTTGTCTTCAAACGGATGCCCCAGGCCAGGAAGTCAAGGAAAGCAGCAGCAGGAAAGCGCACGTCATGGACTATTTAGCAAGCTTGTGTTCTTTTGAAAAGTTCCTATTTTAATTGCCTCTTCCTTTTGTAATCGATTGTAAGGTTAAATTTAATCAAGTATCTCTTAAAAACGTTTTTGTTATAGTTTTATTGTCATTATCAGACGAGGAGTGCCTGGTTACATACGTGTAGCTTATAGTATAGTCCGTTAAACTTCAATGAATATAGTAATTATTCGAAGACTATCCGGCCAGAAAAACCTTTTAGTGTAAAAGCCAGTTGTTTGAAAAAAATAGAAGCAGATTTATTCTTCTGTTAGTTTATACTTTTGTATTCTCCGAGATTGATAACTGTCCTAACAAATACTGAAACTTGCATAAAGTATTTCATTTGACCAACAATTTTTTTTACGGGTACTCCTTTTCAGGTACTCCATATGGTAGTCAATGAAGTAGGGCCCTGCGTTTTTTCTCTCCCAAAACAGAAGCTATGACAAAAAAAAGCTGAGGCAACTGTCAAGAAGAAAGTTAAACTATGTAATCAGTGGAAATGAAAAACAGATTAATTCTGCGTTCGTTTTTCAGACGTCATTTCGCGGGGAAACCGTTGGTGGCGTCGCGAAATGTCCGCTTTTTCCTCACGCTAGTAGTCGTACTTGTCTTAGAATAAGGTCTTTCCTGTACGATCATTTGCAGGCATGGAAAATGGGAGAATTGTAGCTAAAGCGACGCGTAGACGTTAAGAGAAACATGAAGAGCAGTGTAGAAAAAACATCAGAATGATACAGGTAATGCTGCAACAAACTAAACAGCAACGATAAAAATTGCAAATTTTTCAGCAGATTTTCACCCTAATTCAGCAGTAGACTCAATTTATCTTGAAAGTTTTAAAAAACAAAACTATCTTGGCCTGGTTTTGCACGGTACTTTCCAGGTAGGTTTGCTGTCATTTTGTTTTGTATACTTGCTTTAATTTTCCTAGGTTTTCTATGAAACTCCGAAAATGAAGTCGACAAGAACGTATTTGAAGACTAGTTAAAAAGCACAGACATCGGCTGTTCCTAAAATCACTACTATAAAAAGACACCTTCAAGCAAAATAATCGTGAAAAGTGGTGGGTTCCAGAGCAGAATACTCTAAAGTAGAGTTGCTGCACACACACAGGTAAACAACGGTGAACGGCACCCACAATATTGTCAAAATATTATTTTGCCAAATTCACCAAATATTTTTTTAAAGTTTTCTTTAAACTAGAGAACTCTAATATAATTCACAATTTTCCCGAAAATGAAGCCACTCTACACACATGCGAACTGTACTCATAGCTTTGTTATATACGGTACCTTGTGCAATTAATGCTAAGCGGCGAAGGCAACTCCGGAGAACGTCGAAAAAGCAACAAGAGGTCTAATTAGCAAAAAAAGCAACTTTGCACGTGCAAAATACTTTTTTGTACATTTCTTTGCCCTTGTTTTGCACGACTACAACGAGAAGCTTCCAGAAACCTTTTTTATGGAGGAAATGTAGTACGTGTTCTCGTTCACTTTTTTACACTGCCGCTCATTAACTCCTTGCATTGGTGGCCGCTAGTATTTCTCATTTTGTCGCCGCCGCTACAAAATTTTCATGTTGTTCTTCCAACAAAAAGATGTCTCCTTTGTTTTTTATCTCTCGCTCTAGATCTCTGTCACCCTTTTTCCGTCGAGTTTCGCTGCCCTGCCACTTTTTCTCTTTTTCTCTGTCTTTCTCATGCTATATATCCCAAATTTGTGGACATGACAATTAATCTAAGCTTCATACTTTGGAAAACACGAATACAGAAACAATTTCCGCTTTCCGGTTTCGTCTTTATTGATTTATTGACTCTTTAGCTGCCTCTGTTTTACACGACGCTGGTGGCTATGCAATTTCCCGCCAAAATAACCTCGAGTTGCATTTGGGTCGCCATACCTGTTGATTGAGTTATTTAACACTGGTATGCCTGTGGTGCGGACGGACGGTCAGGCGTACGGTCACGTGATTACCAAATTTTCTCGGATGGGTAGATTACCATATTTCCTTACCCATGGTGCTACGCTGCGCGCACTTCGCGCGCGAGAGCTCCGCTACAAAACCCTTACGAGAACCACAGACACCATAAGTTTCTTACCGGAGCGATGTGAACCTCCTTACTCAAAACTTGATATTCCTGTCGAAAGAAATGACACTTCGTAGTTAATGACATGATAAAACACTGTATTAATAGTAGCACTGGATGTGGACATGATGTCAGTGAGTAAACTAAAATGACACCTCAACCCCAGTACTTTCTCTTTTATCTTGTAAACCACACACGGTCTGTCGCGTACATTCCAAATCTAAAACAGGTTTTTTTTTGGCCGCAGGCTGTTTCTGTTCATCTCGTAGGCTTAGTATTACTTAGGCTTAATAACCCTAGTTTCCTTGATAAACTCACCTGGAAGTTAAAGTCGTAATTGTCATCTCTTATAATTTCAGGAAGTTCGACGCCGCCTCTAACGTGTCGAAGAAAAGCTTTACGCCCTTAAAAATAATAAAAGCATTTATCACCAAGAAGAAAACAATGTATTCAGCGATTCAGCAATTCATGTCGGGACTTGAGATCGCAAATTTATGACTTGATTTGGCTAACTGTATTATTTTTTAGTGAATTTAAAAAAGAAAAAAAAAGTAACAAAGTCTAACATGAAGGGCCGTTTTGAAACATGCATAAACCTATGTATTCAAGATCGAAAAAGGGAGTTAAGGCACATATATTCGAAGAAGTATCCTCGATCGTAAGCTAATACGCAGTGGTACAAAAACCACGCTGAACCTTCTTCGTTGGGGTACCGTGGCTGCTTTTTTGCGTTATGGAACATGATGAGGGGATAATTGAATAAAGGGAGTGCGAAACAAAATGAGAAAAATGAAGGTAAAAGCTAGATATCAGACCGGAGCCATTCCTTGATTCACGCAAGCATTTGATAGTTTGTCTAGAGGACTGAGAACGAGTGAGAGGGACTGGGCCGGAGTCTGGAATCGAAGGATGATGCAACAAGATCAGGAGCCGATTACTTCGGCTCCTGACAAGATGTAATGACGATGTGATGTTAATCCGAGCGACCGAGTGTTGAGTAAAAATGTTTTGTTTTCGACCCGATTTGGAATAAAATGTTTGTTCTTCGACCCGATTTAATGGGGTAACATTTGTGGTTAGAATTTGCCACTGTCAGGATTGGCCAAACACTGCACACGCGACACTAGAAAGTCTGGACCATTTACAGAGACAGTATAACCAAAACTTCAAAACCGCTCATCCTACGGCCGCCAAAATTACAAATTACACACTATAATATACTCATCATTTCCAACTTCTGGGCATAACTTGATCGACATAATGACGTAATCTGACGTCATTATAATGTCATATTGTTGAATTTATTGGCAAAATCAAAATTTCCCTCAGGGTAGACATAAAGCGAATACTTTAATAGTAAGGTCTCTGATAAAATTAAGGAAGTTGGCAAACACATAAATGATCTTTAAAAATAGCAGTGATGTCATGATGACGTCATTAATTAACAAAAAAGGAACCGGAAGCATTCATTATGTTGGATCCGCCATTTTGAATTATTTAAATGTATCCCATTTTACTTGAAACTCGTATAAATGGTGTTATTTTTAACAGAAAACTTAATAATCTGATTATGAAAAGATGCTTAGAAAGCAAACATAATAATAATAAAAAAAAAACAAATAAAAAAACAACAAAATACGAAATTCCGAGAAAATTTAAATTAAAAATTTAAAATACTGTTGAAAATTTAACTCAGCATCTGCTATCTGGTCACATTAGACTGATGCTTTTTTCTCAAACTTGTCACTAAAAAGCCTCGATTTCATTAAAAGTTACAATAACTTTGATAAAATGATGCTGAATTAAGTGTAATTTAATAACTCAGTCAGTAAAAATAGAAATAAAACCCAGTTTTTTAGAGAAAATGGGAAAATTTTGAAAAGTATGGTTGTCAAAACTCGGTTGCCATGGTAACGTTAATGCTGACGTACACGTCTTGATGACTTTAAAATGCTCTCAGATAAATTTTAGGAAAATTCGCTAAGTTTGGTGGCCCTAGCTTGGACGGTTTTGAAGCTATTCAACTTTTTAGCGGGGTGGGCTCAAAAGCCCCTCCCCGCCGGTCTGAATAGGGTTAAGGCTGAGGGAAAAGAAAAACGACAGAAAAAAAAATCTTTCGTTGGAATCGCTGTGGAAGGCCTCAAATGCCAGGACCACACAATAAACTGACAACGAAATCAAGGTAAGAAATTTTGCTGTCTTTATTTCCTTCAGTCAATTAATTTGACAATTAAGCCTCGAGGGCTAGGGCCACCTGTGGACCAATGACCATGAAATTTTATCCCTACTTTTAGAACTCACATAGAGTTTCCCTCCCTCCCGTTTTGTCTGATCTAAGCATTTCTGGCCTCACTTTATGACGTACTCATTGTATTCTTCAAGTTTTTAGAGATAAAAATGGTATCTTTATTCGTCTTTTATAAAGTTGCAGTCTATCTTATCTCTTTTAAAACTCACCAGCTAGATGTGTATGTAGCAGCGCCGAAAAGACATTGATTCCCCCTTCAGGTAACGAGGTTTCTTTCAGTCCCTTAAAAATTGTATACATACATTTTACATGGGCCTTGGAAATTAGGGAAACCTTCACTCATTGTCAGTAAACGCTTAAATTACTTTCATCAACAGTTCTAATATATTTAACAATTATTCTTTGAAATCTAGGTGAATAGTGGCTGGGCTCAATTAAATACCGTTTTTACGAGTGTAAGATGCAAGAGCAACTATCTGTTTTAGAGCATCTCAGAGAAACAGCTGTACTTTTCAATCACACGGTAAAAGTTTAACTGAATTGACCCCAAGTTTTTTTAAGGCCTAATTGCCAGAATAAATACCTAAAGAGTACTTTTATGTCTGTAAATATAGATAGATAGATAGATAGATAGATAGATAGATAGATAGATAGATAGATAGATAGATAGATAGATAGATAGATAGATAGATAGATAGATAGATAGATAGATAGATCGATCCATCGATAGATAGATAGATAGATAGATAGATAGATAGATAGATAGATAGATAGATAGATAGATCGATCCATCGATCGATCAGGGGGCTTGCCGTCTTGCTAGGTGTCAGCGGAGAGCCCAGGCCCAGACCTATCCGTGGGTGGGTGGCTTCCTTGTTTTGAGTGAAAACCAGGGGGGTGGGGAGGGGAGATTTTGTCACTTTGGTTAGAGTTTTATGTAGGAAAGCAGTGCAAAGTCAGAGAATTTTTCCTGTGGCCTAGGCCAGCCAAATCAATGCGGTGACTCATAATCATAACACTAGTAGCAGAGCTTGGGGGAAGTGATTGACTAGTCATAATCTTCATGGGTGGGGAGGGTGAGTAATGGCTCCTTGAAGTTGGGCATTTAGAGACTCAGTACAGGCACCTTGTATGAAATCCAGACAGAGAAAATTATCCGAGAAAATGCTTTTGAACACAAGAAAGAGAAACCCGGGTAAAATTTAACCCCGGGTTAAGCGCTAATCGGCCTTCGAACAACTGGGCCCTGGTCAATAAAGCCAATGCAATTTTTTAGTTATAAATTTGTAGGACAAGCGAGGTCCTTACTGAATTGAAAAGCAAGTATCGGTAGATGGCGGTACCTTTTGGGTGCAATCTGGGCTACAGAAGCCGTTTATTTCCCAGTCTTTCTCCCTCGGAGGAATCACCATAGCCGGGTTTACGTTCGCTCCAACCATCAGTATTCCTGACTCGTATTTTCTTAACTGTTTAGTGTAGTGAAACCGCAACCCAGAACTATCAATCATTCCTTAAGAAAAACAAAATTTATCAGACTGAAGGCCTTTGGGAAAAAGTGAACATCTTTAAATGCCAAATGCGTCGATTACCCACCAAGTTTTCAGAGTAAATCAGAAGAAGAATTCACAATTAGCAATGTTTTCGCTGCCCTTTCCATCCTTGGTTTTGAACCAGTTCCTTAATTATGTTTTTTGCTTTTGTTTTGTTTTCCTTTTTTGGGGTTTGTTTGTTTGTTTAAATTAAATTCCAGCCCTAGCCGTTTCAAGTTATATTAGGTGACACTGTAATATAAAAAAAAGTTCAACTCCCCCCCCCTCCCCCCAAGTTCCCCGAACTGACCTCTCCTTACCCCTCCAAATGAGTTCTACATTACCAAATAATGCTTCAAAAATTTCAGACCCTGCCATTTGCAACTTGGGTAGACGAAAATTTATCATCTTGGGGCCAAACATAATTGCTGCCATTAGTCAAATTGACGATGAGTTAATTAATAGGTTATGAAATAGTAAGCGAATATGATCAGCAAAATCACAAGAAAGATGACAGACCACATCGCCTGTCAAGAGCAAAAACTTACCGCTGCATGGTAATATGATACTTTGAGTATCTTGTCAGTTTGTGTATAAAACTTAAGACTATGTTATGCAAACCCTTAGAAAAGTTTTATGTCAAGCTATTTTGGACAAATAGAGTCAGTATATATCAAATTGGCACTCGAAAAGGTTTTCCCCAGAGATGTGTTATATGTGCTAAGTTTTCAGTACCTTCCTTATGCTGAGGATTGTCATAGTGGACTTCGAGAAAAACAACCTTTGGGCTATCTGCTTTTCCAATGGCGAATCCAACGTGTTCCGGGTAATAGAATTCCTTTAAAAAATAGAATACTAGTATGGAATCAATATTTTTAACAGCTCTGAAGCTTTTACCCTTTGGCTTTTTGAGGTGCAATCTCTATCTGCTCACTGTTTTTATTCTTCTACATTGTATATTACCCATTTTATGAAACTATTCCTGTTTAACTTAAACCGTGTTATTTAAGATTGTTAAGATATCTCGTTTTCTAATTATGGTACCATTAATTTTATCACATATTGAATGAAATGCTGTAATCTAGATTACACCACCACTTCATAGGAAAGCTTTTGTAAGAAAAGGTATATTCCCATGGGCTAAATGAGTAGTTCAAAGCAGCTGAGTAGAAAATGCAAGTCTCCTGCTACTTTAAAAATAATGGTAAACAAGAATTTCTCTGTCATTTGAATGCAGTACTCTCGTATGAATGATGACTTGGTAGGCACACTTAAAAGATGACCTGCCAACATTGTTAGTTTCCAACAAAATCTAGCTTCTATTAGAGATGCACATTTCAAAGAAGCTACGGATCATTTAAATAGTTATTACACCTTTCTCTGACTTCAGTATCGATCAGTTTGCCATTCATCTCTACTTATCAACATCATTATATAGCTACTTACTTTACCACCTATAGCCCAGCCAGCAATGGTTAAGAGCCCAGCACATTCTCTAATTTGAGGAGGCATGTTGGAAGCATAACATCTACCAGTATAGTTCAGTAGGTGCTTTGGAAAATCATCACTGCACTCGTACACCAATATGTGGTGAACCACACCCTCGTGGCCCGCTTGAATGACAGGTTCAATCTAAGTTTACAAATCAAAGTAAGTCAACGGATTATTTATTTTGCAGTTTGTGGTCGAATATCAATACCTTTACCTTATTTTTTTAAAAACAATAATTCACAGTAAGGTCCTAGCTTGTGATTTGTAATAAACCGTTATCATCATCATCATCATCATCATCATCATCATTATCATTATTATTATTATTATTATTAAATTATTATTATTATTATTATGATTATTATTATGCTCCTTCCTTTTGTGTAGAATCTCACCTTTACGATATGATGGGTTTCATTGAGTTTAGGGATTTCAAAAACTTTACAAATGTAGCTAGTTCCATCTTTAGGGATGACAGTCTAAAAGACAAAAAAATTAATAATAATAATTATCAGACAAATGTACATCTTTCAAACTCAGATAAGCCATGTTTGCGCGCTGAGATCACTTGTGCGATATGACAAAAGCGACGAAAACAGAATAGATTTCTACTGACAACTTCTGGGCATTTATATTAGCTTGTCCTCACATTTTTTTCTTGAAAAGCTCCTTGAATGCAAATATTCTTATGGCAAAGGGGTTAACAGTACAGGAATTAAGCATTTCTAGATGCGAAAACTTCTAATTTTTATTATTCTTTAGATCACGCCAGACTTTTGTGAGCCCGAAAAGAATTGCGTCAGGGAAATTTCGTAGAGCCTGCAACTCTATCTCAGAGAAACTGTGTCGGAGCAGGAGCCTGGTTGGAGCCACCTTTAGTTAATATTTAAACTTCGTTAAACAGCATATTCTTATCTTCAATTTTTTCACGCTTTCTTTATGAAAAGTTTACCGCGCTATTCTGAATAAAACTAAAACGACACAAAGTATTACCATATTGTGCCTTATATCAAAGGTTTTAGTATCAGGTGGCAGAGTTGGTTCTTTGTTGGCGTTGTTTAGTAGATACACACTCCTTTGCCCACGGTTTCCAAGGCTGTGTTGTAGAATGGAATTTTCTGAGGCTGGATCTTCTGGGTGGTAAGCATAGATCACTTTCGTTGTCCCTGCCTGAAAATTGAAAGTGTTGTCAAAGTCTCAGCCACCATTCAAATCACTTAGTAAACAGCAGTGTCACTGTCACTTTATCAGGTTTGGTGGCTAACGGGAAGGAGCCACTGTTGATGTACGAAACTTGTTGAGGAAGTAAAACACTAGGTATAGAGACGCCCACGTTCAAAATTCGCATCGCCTGCTTTCTAATAATCTAAATCCCTAATTTGGGCCATCTTTAAGACAAATGATTAGAGAAGTTTGTTTCAAAAGACACTATGTTATTGCCTTTGAGGCAACATTTTTTCAAGGGTCTCTCCTCTCCACATCCCCTCAAGGGAGGCCCTGGGAAAAAGTTTGCGTCTGTGTGAGAGTGAAGCCGGCAAAAGTTTATATTTAGTTTCTTTAACCCTTTGGTGACGGTTGGCGAGTAGCGAAAAAACCTTATTTTTCATCAATTCCTCTTCTTTGGACTGGTTTTCGGCTAATTAGCATAAGAATGGATAAAAACGAGTTTTGCAAGAAAAAAGCATATTTTCCGACTAACCTGACGTACTTGTTTTTCACGAATGCGCAAAAGCCAAAATTTGTACCTTTTTTGCGAATCTATTGCGATCTTTCTCTCTCGCTCTCTTTTTTTCTTTCTTTCCTTCTTTATTGGTGGTTTTGTTGCGCACTTTATCGTCTTTCTTTTGCAAGGAATTGTGGCTGGCTAACTTGTTAGGAAAAGGGCAAACTTAACTTTCAAAGAGTAGTATGTAAGCAGCGAAATTGGCAGTGTATTTTTCCCCAAAATGTTACCTTTTTTGTGAGTGTAACTCTGTCAGGATTGTTCAGAATATCCAAAACGAGGTATCGCTGGAAAGATATATCTTTGCTGACATTGTTGCTTACCAATTTATTAACTTAACTGAAAGCTAAATGGGTCCAGGGAGGAATGTATTTAAATCGTTCCATATGGGTAGTTTTACGACCTTAGCAGTCCGAAAAGGGTTAAATGTCTTAAATAAGAAACATGTGATAAAGCCAATATGCCCCCCCCTGTAAAGATTCAGGGCAACGCACCCGTCAGCTTTTAAATTTCTTTATTGTAATTTGGTTTATACAATTAAATTTTAACATTAATTTTTAAGACTTTGACAAATGTCTAGTACGTACGTGCCTACCTCGATTTTATTGTCTTGAGGATCGCATGTGTCCAGTTTTCTTTTAAATGTCATTGTGGTTTTTCCATTGTCTTCCTCAAGAGATATCAACTCGCAATCCTGTTGCGAATCGATTTTTGGCATCACGCGACCATCTGCATGTCGATCCTGTAGGGTGCAACAAAAGCGTTTTCAGATTCATGTAGGTTTGTACTAGGTTGTACGAGTACATAGGTCATTCCGATACCTGCCAACTCACATGCCGCCTTCATGCGCGAGTCACACACCAACGGATCGAAACCATCGATCAAACGCATATAAGACATTTTCTCACGCTTGACTGACAACTTCAAACACATTTTTCATTAACCATGAAAGTGGAAAATTGAATTCAATTTCCAGCCGTAATAGTCCAGTGAACGCTGCTAAATTTCGCGTTTGAGTCATAAATCAACAGGCTAAAAGTTGAAAAGCCCTGGGAACGAGGTTGTTTTTACGCATCAAGGGGGAAGGAACGGATCGGTTACAAGTAAATCTCTTGTTTACACGTAAAGGTTTTGTAATCTAGGGGTGTAATGCACTTGAAAATGTTTATCACAAGTGCCTCCTGAATGAGAGTTTTAATTATTATTTATTCAAAGTATACGTATTTACTGTTTCTGACTGGCTCAAAGCCCCCGGCTAATTCTTCATAACCAACTAGCGTTGATCAAATTTGGAAGGTAGGAACAACATCGATTCGATGGTATATTGACTTGGAAACGAGGATGATCGATGGTATATTGATTTGAAAACGAGGCTGATCGATGGTATATTCATTTGGAAACTAGGTTGCATAGGCAATAGACCATCGTCGATCAACCTCGTTTCCAGCGCGGCGGCCCAGCTGTTTATTCACGAGTGAACTAACAAAAAAACAAGCTTTCACGCGTGCTGCTATCCGAAGACGAAATAGCTGGATTTCTGTTTAAAACTGAATGGAAGGAAAGCAAGAATACGCAAGGCATATTATTGCTCGATGGATGTTATCCACTTTTTGAGAATTATCTGCAAGAAAAAACATGTGTCTATATCCTTATATAAACAGTGCCGAAAAATAGGCCAAAGTCTACGAGGAGGTAAGGTTGTTAAGAACTTAGAAATATTTTGAAGGAATAATAAAACAATCACTAAATTTGGCTTTCGTATGATAATGTGTTCGGCCGAGGTGGATATCATCCTCTAAGATCCACATAATTCTTCACCTGCTACTCAGCCTCATTCAATAATTGCATGCTAATTATGATTCAAAACATTTCGCCGTTTCTGATTAGCTTGCAATCTCCTGGCTAATTCTTCATGACCAACTGGTGCTGACCAAATTTGGAAGACGCGAGCAATATACCATTGTAGTCAATGGTATACTGATTGAAACGAGGTTGACCGATGTTATATTTGATTGGAAAGAGGCTGCATAGGCAATAGACCATTGATCAACTTCGTCTCCAACTGAAGAAATGAAAGAATTCTCAAAACATATTGCTCGATCGATGTTATCTACGTTTTTCAGGAGTATCTGCAAGAAAAAAACATCTGTTTATATCTGAAACCGTGCCGAGAAATAGGCCAAAATTTTACAAAAAGGTCGACGAGGAAGTAAACTTGTTCAGAACTGAATGAATAATAAAACAATTAATGAATAGGACAATTGCACGATGACGTCATTTTACGACAACTACCAGAATCATTGAGTTTCTTGTTTTCTTGGGCAAATTAAGGCTATTGTTTTTTTTAGTCCTCGGCGGGATTGACAAATTTAAACAACAAAGCAAAACCGAAATGAATTCTGGTAGTTGTAGTCAAATATCGTCATCGTGCAATTGTCCTATTCGGCTTTCGCATGATCTGACGAATTTTGCAGATCTCGGAGGCTGTAATAATTCTTCGCATCATACTGAGCCTATTAAATAATTGTTTAATAGTCCGAGATGGCGAGCCAATCAGATTGCTTAAAATACAAAGAACACTGAGTGTGTATATATTAAATATTCACCTACCAAGCATTTTTTAAAACTTTTTACGTACGCCGATCACGTACATTTATGATGCTCGATATGCCCTAAAACATCCTCGGAGACCCAGGGGCAGTCATTCGGGTCGGGAGAAAAGGCGGCACGAAAGTTTTCATTACGGGCGAAATAGCCCCTGGGTACCGACTCTCACCGAACTATTTCGAAAAACTCAAGCTGATACCGGCTCCTGATTGGGCACAAAAAATGCTTTGTATTATTGTGCCCAATCGGCGAACAGTTGCTCCTGAGTTCTTTTCGTGATTTCGTACACGTCGGCTATTGTCTCGCCACACTTGCCTGGTTCGCTCACCAAGCTTGTGCGTACAAGGGAAACTTTTATTTTCTAGTTCCTAACCAGAAACAAAGGAATTACCGATGAGTTGAAAAAACGTTTGGGTTACTATCAGCAAGAGCAATTGAATTTGCCCCGAGAATATTCTGCTTTTGACGGATCACAATTAAGATGCGGCGGCGATAAGAAATTCAAATAAGTAATAGCTTGACAAGGCAAAACAACAGCTTTGCACGTGCATCACGCTTTTTTGTACACTTCTTTGCCGTCAGCTGCACGACTACCCGTGAAAATGCCTAACTTCACGTTTTGCGAAGGAGTAAACAAGCAATAACCAAATTCATTCGGTTCATGAACTTTGATATGGTTCAGAAGAGTTCGCTTGCATTTGACAAAGTAAGCGAGTTGGATCAGATGGGGATTTTATATCAAACTGAAAGTTTCCTAACTGCGTGCATTTCTTTAGTGCATAAGCTAGACAAGCCGTGATCGAGACAATAGCCGTCATGTACGAACACACGAAAAGAACTCATTGAGAAGTGTTCGCCGATTGGGCACAATAATACAAAGCATTTTTTGTGCCCAATCAGAAGCCGGCATCCGCTTGAATTTTTGGAAATGGTCCGGTGAGAGTCGGTACCCAGGGGCTCTTCCGCACTTACTTGAAAACTTTCGTCCCGCCTTTTTTCCCGACCCGACTGACTGCCCCTGGGTCTCCGAGGATGGCCCTAAAATGGAGCTTTCATAAACCGCTCCAAGAACGAATATGTATTAAAAAACATGATCAATTCTATTCCTAGCTGTGCGGCGGTGGCTGTAAGTCAGTCATGCTCGCTTTATTTCACTGCTACAGTCTTCATAATTATATTGTATGTATTATGAATGAAATACTTGTTGATGTGTATTTATACAACGCTATAGTAGTCACGGGCTAAACTAAATAGTTATTAGAAATTAGCAGATCAAAGAGTGTCTTTATTCTCAATTAATGAACCTCCAAATCATTATTATTATTATTATTATTATTATTATTAAATGGAAATTAGACACCATAAAGTCACCAGGCGACTAACTCTTTTGTTTTCTTTCGAATTAAATTAGCGATGACTCAGCTTTGCATTTGTTTCATGGGTTAAACTTTAATGAATCCGTTACAGTGAAGGTTTGTGATCACAGCAGAACCAAACTCAAATGTTATATTTGGGGCTTAAGAGAATAAAGTTACAAGCTATTTTTTAGTGGGTTAGTGAGTTTTTAGTACAACACTTCCGCCTAACATGAGTACAAAGGGGAAGAATAAATTCTTATTAAGCTAAGGGGTAGAGTTGATTATACTGAACACTGTTTTATGGCTATATTGAACTGTATGCCAGTGATAGAGAACGCTCTTTTTTTGCTGAACAATCCATGCAAAGTGATTCGATTGGCAAACAATTTCCGTTGCTAGGACTGATAAGCATTCAAATGATTACTGTTGCGTAAAATATCTCTGTAAACTCGATGTGTGCCTACCTATAAGTAGCCGAATCATTCTACATGACTTGGACTGAGACAGTTTTACTTGCCTTGAAGTATGTCTGTCCGTCTTTCACCCATCCTATAACAATATCTGCTCCTTGCATTTTGCCTTGACCGCTGGAGATGCCAAATCCTACCCATCCTGTCGCCTTCGCCTCAACAGTGAAGATAATTTCCTTTCTTGCAATGCTCACATTCCAGTACAGCTTGACATTTTGGTTTTCGTCAAGAGGAGCAAAAAACGAATGGTCTGCAGCAAGATTGGCCGAGGAAGACTGCACTGCGAATGAACAGAGGAGGAAAACCCACTGCGTGATTAACAACATTGTTAGTTGCATGCCTTGTCGCATTATTTGAGCTAAAAATGATCTGAACCGTAACAGTTCCCTTCATTACTACGGGGGGTTTTGTCAAGCATTATAAGAATTTTGCTTTCTGTTTTTAAAATCAAACAAACCACAAAAACATTATGACAATATTTCAAAACTGAGAAAAAGAAAGAAATAGTACGAATTAAGTGCAAAAACATTTCATTGCACCAGATCAGAGAATAGATCTGAATAAAATGAATTCACATGTACAATCTCAAATCATATTTATTATAACATAGCTAGAAAATTCGCCTAATCATTCTGCTTCAAACTTTGCTTCTCGGGTGCAATGCGCCATGCCGATTCGCGCAAAGCGTCGCAAATCCGGCAACCGCATGTAAACAAAATTTATTGAGGTTAGTTGTAA